ACTCACCTCGGCCTCCCAAAGCATGGGATTACAGGCTGAGCCACCGAGCCCGGCCAAGATATTATATTCTAATGGGTGGGAAAATTCAAGGGACAGTAACATCTGATTTTCACCCCCATATGTCGTCAGCCATGGCCTGTCCCTGAGCCTTAGCATGAGCTTCCCCAGTACTCAGCAACTAAAAGCAGAGTCCATAGACAGCAGGAGACTCCAGATTCTACCTGATGGAGTTCTCCATTTAAAGGGTCAGCTTTGCCACAGAGAAGCAAGGGCTCCATGGAGATTCTGGAAGTGGCTAGAGAGCAGAGGTCCCCAGAAGACAACAAGATTTTTTAAATTGCCATTTATTTTTTGTGTTTGTTTGTTTTTGTTTTTGATGTTGTCATTAACTTTATTTTATTTTTTACTTTATTTTATTATAAAGATGTGGGGTACAAGTCATGATTAGGTACATAGGTAATGTATATGCAGGTAAAAAAAATTTTTTTTGAAAGAAGGAGGGAGAGAGAACTTTTGCTCATCTATGCATAATTCTTGGCTAAGGGGAAAATGAAGGCATCTGATAAAGTGGTCCCCTTATGTTCAGGAAGCATCTGTCATACTTCCTGCTGTGTTTGGAATCACAAAGCAAAGAGGAGGAGTCTTCCCCCATCAGGAGTCTACCCCAGATCCCTCCCACAGCCCATGCATTGTTATGCCCACACTTTGAAACATTTCTGCTAAATCCTCTTCTTTCTACCTCTCTTCCTAGCTTCATTTTATCTTCCCTTCTCTCCCAAACATGTGACCTGTTATATTCCTACCAGAGAATAAGCCTGGCAGACAGAATTCAGACAGCATTCATTCCCTACTGGGGCAAGTTAGTGGGGAACAAAAAGACACCAGGCAATTCTGACATAATAAGAAAAGCTAATACTTGCACAGCACTGTCTCTGCCAGGCACTGTTCTAAAGCCTTTACATGTGTTGAACCATTTCATCCTTACAAGAACCCTAGGGGGTATGTTATTACTTTTATGCCCATTTTAATGGATGAGGAAATGAAGGCATGGGGAAATTAAGTAATTTGCCCAGGGTCACATAGCTTGTAAGTGGCAGAACCACAATTCAAATCCAGACAGTGGCTGGTAAGTCTATTCCCTTAGTCTAAGTGCTGGTGTACAACAAAATACGAGCAAATACGTCACTTAATGTCCACAGCTATCTCTATAAGGACGACAACATAAGCCTTGTTTTACAGATGAATACCTGTCTCAGAGGGGTGATATGAGGTGGTAAATGGGTGAGCTGAGACTGAATGGGGCATGTCTACCTACAAAGCCTGCATCATAGCTAATACAACCTAGGAAAGTGTGCATGTGTATGTGTGCATGCTCATGTGCATGTGCACTCACATGTGTGCCTGCTCACAGAGGTGGAAGAATGGCAAAGGCTTGCTGAGCTAACCACTAAGGATTAACAGGTCTGTTACTTGAGCCCAATGCCTGGACATGTTTTCCACCTCTCCCTGCTCCTCCTTGGAGCTTCTGCAATGGTACTTATCATGGGAACTCAAAGCAGGCTTAGTGCAATCCTAGCAACTCCTCCATCATCCCACATGTCCAAGCACACAGAAACCATGCTCCTGTAATTACCACGAGGGCCTCCCCTTCAGACCAACCCTCCATTCCCACAGTTCTTCTGACCCTCACTTCCCTCCTATAAGTATTGAGGTACCACTTTCAGAGTGGAAATTGAGTATCAAAGAGGATGCCTCCACACCAGTCTGCCCAATAGAAATATAATGCACACCATACATGCAATTTAAAGTGTTCTAGTAGCCACATTAAAAAGGCAGAAATAAACAGTTCAAATCAATTTTCCCAGACTACATTGCATTTCACCAAATATATTAAAAATATTATCATGTTAACATATAATTAACTTTAAATTATTACTGAAATATTTTATATATTTTTCATAAGTGTTCAAAACCCAGTGTGTATTTCATGCTTATAGCAAATCTCAAAACAGACAAGCCACATTTCAAGTGCCTGCCTTATTGGAGAGCACAGTTCTGGAGACATTTGTACAACAAATATTACTGAGTATTATTAAGGGCCAGGATCTGAGTACAGGAGAGAGATAAATAAGCCACAGACTCCACTATTATGCTAAAAC